AAATATACATATATATACATATATGTATACATAAATATACATATATATACATATATGTATACATAATATACATATATACATATATATATATATATATATATATATATATATATATATATATATATATACACACATACACATATAAACATTATACATATATACATATATACATATATACATATATACATACACATCACTCACACACACACACTCACACACACACTCACACTCACACACACTCACACACACTCACACTCACACACACTCACACACACACACTCACACACACACACTCACACTCACACTCACACTCACTCATTCACTCACTCATTCACTCTCACTCAATCATTCACTCTCACTCAATCATTCACTCTCACTCAATCATTCACTCTCACTCAATCATTCACTCTCACTCACTCATTCACTCTCACTCACTCATTCATTCTCACTCACTCATTCACTCTCACTCACTCATTCACTCTCACTCACTCACTCACTCACTCATTCTCTCTCACTCACTCACTCACTCACTCATTCACTCTCTACTCTTGGAAGTTGTTTAACCAAAAGAAATGAGAAATGCAGTAGTATTCTAGGGTATCATAAGCTAGCTGGCATATTTAGCCCAATATATATGCAAAATGAAGTATAGTTAAACTGCATCACGTTGATGTACTATGATATAGCAGAGAACTATGGTCAATACAGAAAATTTTTAAGGGTCTTTTGAATAGTTTTCCAAGATCATAAATACTGCTATTATTAGAGGTATTAGAGGTATCAGAGATATTATTAGAGTTCAGAGTAGAATTTACTGTAAAATAAATGAATAAATAAATAAATAAATGATATTAAAAAAATATTTGCAGCAATATTAGTAAAAGAATGCCACACCTATACATGCCAAAAAGATGAGGGAAATAAACAATTAAGGAAACACAAAGTAAAAAAGTTTCACTGCTGAACTATTTATATAGCTTAGAATCTATTTCTCACTTACTTATCTTTGCATATATAGCATTGACGATACACTGGCAAAATACGAGTGCAAGAGAATAGGTGAATTTTTCCTTCTCTTCCCCATATCGAGTGCGAGTTCTGAAAAGAAGAGGTAAATTTGTGATTAATTGAAACCAAATTTGCTGGTCTTAACTCAATGCCACTGGGGAAATGCTGTGCTCATTTTTTATTCTTTAGTGAAATGTCTCTGCACATAGGTGGTTCTGCTGGAGATTTGCCACAAAAGAGTCAATTAGTGGACCTTGTGACATTGCCTGATTTTACCTTTCCTTGAATTGGTGTGAAAAGACTTTTTTTTACTAATGCGATGAATATCAATGGTGTTATTTATATTATAGACATTATAATTACTCTACTGTTATTGACATTAGTAACAGCAATATAAGATAACAAAAAAGAAAATCAAGGAAAAGGATAAACAGGTAAGGCAGGCAGTACTCATAATTGGCTCATTGGTGACTTAGAACAAGTGTAGCCATCTATGTATAAAAATAATTAATAAAGTAAATTCACAGTGGGCATGGCATGTTTGTACAAATATGTTAGGTTAACAATATACTTGTCCTCTATCTTTTCAGATATCTATACAAAAATTCTCAAGACATTACTCAGTACTATAATATCAAGAGACTGGTTTATGACCAAAGCAATAAATAATTATGACTACTGTTTCAACCACAATTTCTAAGCTATCTAAAAAGGCCTATAAAATTACTCAGTATATATAATAAGAAATAGGTCTAATTTCTGATAAGAAATCTGCAAGTAAAGCAATGAGGAGATATGACGAGATATAAATGACGTACCAAAATCTAAAATGATCGCAGTAATATACAGCTGTGTCAAGCTTGTAACTCTCAGATGAATCACATTTACAGCAACATGTAAAAAGCTTTAAAAAAAAAAAAAAACTTTTACCTTCTACACAGTAAGGGTAATACCAAATTCTAAAAAAGAAAAGAAAAGAAAAGAAAAAAAAAAGAGCAAAATATGGGACTATGCTAAGTAAAACAAAGATTTATAGGTGACACACTCATTCTAAATGAAATTAATATCATAATATATGTAAACACATCACCTGAAGAATAACCACCTCCATGAAAAGGAATCAAAGCTCTGCCATTTCCTGTATTATTAGGAATAAGCATACTTGACAATAAAATCTGTATGTATGTATGTATGTATGTATGTATGTATGTATGTATGTATGTATGTATGCATGTATGTATGTGTATATATTTATATACACACACACACACACACATATATACATATATATACATATATACATATCTATACATATATAATATATAATATATATATATATATATATATACATATATAATTCAATCCAATGCCACCGGGGAAAATGAACAAAAAATGGGGAAAATGCTGTGCCCACTTTCTATGTTTTTCGTGAAATGTCTGCCGATAGATGGCTCTGCTAGCGCCTGATTTGAAATGGCGGGAAAAACGTATT